GGGTCGATCGAACTCTTCAATCATTTCTTCTCCTTTCTAATTGGTCATGACAGTTACATTCAGTTTGTCGCCGACATTAAGATGCAACTGCTGGTGCTAGAGAATAAAGTGGGCTGAAAGGCAAAGTTCCTGATCGTCTAGTGTGCGCACGGATGGGGGATCTACACTTCTCCTACTGATTGCAAGGTGAAGAAAGTAAAGAACCTGGTCGGGACCACAAGGCATTGATTGAGGGCCAGTGCCTCTCTCTATTTCAATACCTCGGCTCCAACGAGATCAAACAAATGATTGGCCTGGATGGGGTTGTAACTATGATCGAGGATTGTGGAGAGAGTTGTTGGGGAGAGGTTGGCTTTGAAGAGAACTCATGGGAGAGGCGGTCCTCCCTTGTTTGACAAAGGTCGAGGTTGTCGTTACTCAATCTGGTTGGCGGAGGGGAATGATGAAGGTTGGTATCACTTTTCTTGCTTGTTTGTGTGTGAAATGCATTTTTGTGATTGTTTTATAATTTGTCAGGTTTTCAGAAGGGAGCAAGGGGGCTGATAGTAGAGGTCCAGTGACGGCGGCGACCAGAGGTGGTAGTCTGGTGGTGGCAACTATGATGGACAAACAACAGTAGTCCAGCGGCGTGGAGGTCATACGACTGTGGTTAGGCGGTGGTGACGATGGTTGCCGAGTGACGGTGATAATGATGATGATGATGATAACAACTTGTGGACAGTGTTCCAACGAAAATGACAATGGTGGCTAGACAGTGGAGGTTTGACGCGACAACAATTAGAGGCGGTGGTCCACTGGTGACGACAATGCTGAACGGACAACAATGGTCCAACAGTAATGGAGCCCAGATGATAATAATTAGGCAGTGATAACGATGGTGGCCGAGCAACTGTTGTTCGATGGTGACGACAGCAAGTCGACTGTGTTTCAACAAGGGTGGCCTGGTAACTGTGGTCCAACTGTGGTGGTCTGGTAATAGTAGTCCAATGATAGTGGTAACAACTAGAAGGTGATGTTTTGAGGGTACCTGCGACATATCATTGAGAAACAAAATAGATGCTGAACATTCGAAACTTTAAGGAAGTGTCAAATAAAACTTTGTTTTCAATAAATGACATCAAACTAATACATATAAGATAGTATTAATTTTTCACTTTTTTTTAAGTCTATAATAATGATCATTTAATGGTTAAATCCCTTTTGGAGCCTATAAATAGGAGTCGGGAGAAGAGAGTAGAGGTGCGGCGGTGCATCGTGGAGACTCGTTGTGGCAGTGCGGCGGCGCAGCGTTGCGACGCGACGCGACAGCTCGCTGCGGCGACGCGACGCACTGTGGTGGTGCTTTGCGGTGAAGAGTTGCGGTGCAGAGTTGTGGTGAAGTGTTGTGGCGAGGCATTGCGGTGAAGAGAAAAGTCATCCTCGCCCTGCGTAGCAGATAAACAACGGGATATTCTTTCCGGTTGTGGCGAAGAGGAAAGTCATACCCGTTCTGTGCAGCATGCAAGCAATGGTATCTTCTTTCTCGTTGCGGTGAAGAGGAAAGTCGTTCTCGTCTTGTGTAGCAGGAAAGCAACGGGATCTTCTTTCTTGTTGCGACGAAGAGGAAAGTCGTCCCCATCCTACGTAGTAGTAATAGGATTTTTTTTCTTGTAGCGGCAAATAGGAAAGTCGTCCCCGTCCTGCGTAGCAGACAAGCAACAAGATCTTCTTTCTTATTACGGTGAAGAGGAAAGTCCTTCATGTCTTGCGTAACAGGCAAGCAACGGGATTTTCTTTCTTGTTTGTGACGTGTATTTTAGAGGAGACTTTCGTGCCACCCTTGCACGTTCTAAAGGTGATGAAGAAATGTTATAGTTTTGCTGTCACACTTTGAGGAGAAGATTTTCATGCTTATGTGATGGCGATATCGGGAGACCCCTTGACGATCATCAGAAGTACTGTTTTTTGGGGAGGTAATGTCAACTCTACTCGAAGATGAGAGGATTTGTTGTAGCTCTTGTATAAATATATGTTGGTCTTTGTAGCTTTTTTAACAATTAGATGTGACATTTGTAAATGATGATAATGTATTTCCTTGCTTCTTCCACGATTGTTGTGGCTTCTCAATCATAAGAAATCCTTCTAAGGCTTGTAGTCTTTTGAAGTTCTACAGTGGAGACCTTCTTTGGCTTGTCTTCCAGTGACATGGTAGCTTCTTATCAGGTATTGCCTTATGGGCTTGATTTTCAGTGGCATGGTTGAAAGAAAAATCCATTGAGGATGTAAGATCAGTTCTGAGTTGTGTAACGGGAGATTCTCGATGGAATTAACTCGTGATGAACAAAGTTATATGAAATCCACTTAGGATGGTTGACCTATCCCCTATCCTAGGTTGTTGGTCCTATCCTAGGTTGTTGGTCGAAGCTTTGCTTGACCACCGAAATCTGTTATGGAAGAGGTCGAAGGAAATCCACAAATGATTTTTGACCTATCTGAAGTTGTACATCGAAGCCTTTGCTTGAAAACTGTATTCTATAATGGAAGAGGTCGAATTGAGTCCCTCGAGGATCGATTAATCTCAGAATGAGGTGTCAGAAATTATCTGCATTTCTCGAGATTGGGGTATAGGTTGCAATGGACCGTATATTTTCATGGAAATATGATTGCAGTCATACTCAAGAAAAATGTTTGACAACTTGTCATTTGTTGCTTTTTAATCTTTTGCCCCTCAGCAGAGGCATTTTCCATGTGAGTCTGTAAAATAACTTATGTATGGAGCCTTGAAGAGATCAGTTTCCTGATCTGGTTGAAGAGGACTTCAATATGATGAGGGGTGTTGAGGAAACATTATTTGCGGTGAAGATTTCCTCCCAGTACATGAGTGATTTTCGCAGGCTTGTAATCTAAATGAAATATGGGATGACTTCCCCACCACAGTCGTGCCCGAGACGTGGACATGAACAACCTTTCGAGACTGCAGTGAAAAATTGCCCCTTAGCCTGGAAGAAGTTGTGACATACTTTGTGTCTGAATAAGATGCGAAAAGACAACCCCGCTAAAATTGTTCCTGGGACGTTGACGTGAACGACCTTTCGAGATTGCAGTCCCCCCCCCCACATTAAAGAATGCTTTGGAGATGATCTTCAAGATGCAAAGAAGATTCCTTTGCCAATTGGATGATCTACATCATTGGGAAATGAAGCAGGGGCTCGGTGTTTTAGAGTTCAAGACAATATCGAACTCTAAAGGTCTTGAAGCAGGGGAAGTTTGATATGGGGAAGTTCAAGCCCCCCATCGAACTCGATATTGTCTTGAAGCAGTTGTTCGTGAGTGTTGTAGTCCACTATGAGAAAAAAACTACTGAGCCTAGCCTAGTTGAAATAGTCCACTATGAATGACGAGTACACATGTACATTCTTCTCATAAATTAGGAAAGATGAAATTATAAGGTTGTATAACTATAATTTGGCATTATTTTTTGTGACAGCATGTTGCAAGAGTCATTGTCGGTTGTTGTGGAGGTAGTAGTCCGTCGTGAGTGTTGTAGATGGTTGTTCCGAAAGCGTTGATTGGCCAAAGAAGTCATGATATTCAGTACGAGAAATGTAAATCACGTAGATTGTAGTTGTCGAGTATTAATGACGTCCGTAGACCACAGGGGCCGGAGTCGGGAGCTGCATGAACGATGACCACGTAGGTCGTTGGGGCCAATATTAATGACGTTCGTAGGCCGCTGGTGCCAAAGTTGGGAACTGCATGAGTTGATGATTGTGTAGGTTGTTAGCACATTGATCGTAGTGGCGAGCTCTTGTTCTACATACGGAAGAGGTTACCAGATTTTCTAAGTTACAACGTTGACCGATGACAATTGGTTGGCAGTGATTGATGACGATCGACAGGTGTTGACGGCGGCTCGCGGTGGTCGACGATGGTCGGAATGATGTTAGACTTCAGCTCCTTCTCAGAGCTTTCAACTTTCATCCCCCCTAAAAACCCCACCCCCCACCCCCCCCCCCCCCTCTCATATGAAGGGTTGGACTCTATTTATAGTGTTTTGAATATCATTAATGCGGGAATATGAAACATTTTGATCGGACGATCCAGAGAGCTTCCCCCGATCATAGAATGTTTAATAGACATTTGGCTGCCTTAATGATGACCGAATTGAATGATTTTAGGCTCGTTAGGTTTGTCTTGTCGAGACGCTCAATTCAAGTATAAACTTGTCATATTCGACAACCTTTTGACCTTTCAAATATGTTCGGAAATCATCTAAATGTGATTCAATGAGTTGATCTGTGCTGGATTTGACTCGGATTAGGCTAGTTTTTATACCATTATATCCGTCTCATCAAGCCGGTCAGTTTGATTATAAGTTTGCTAAAATCGGAGCTCTGGATGACTTTTAATCAAGATTTAAATATTTTCTACTTAAAAAATCGTCTCGAAATTCGTGTCGGATGATGAAAATTTGTTAGTGACATATCAAGTTCCAAAGTTGATTATTGTAAATGTATAGCAATCTTTTATATTTAAATTTCTTGTAAAAGTCTTCTGTAATTATTAATTTGTTGAAATTATTTACTCTTAAAATGAAAACTTCAATATAAAATTGATTAAATATTACAAAATTGCAACACAATTATAAATTATTGAAAGTTTACAAAGTTTTTATTAGCATTATTATCATTGTCAATATCATCAACCAAGTAACTTTTAATTGATAAAAACATTATTTTTAAAGCTTTCAAGAAATAATTTATTTGTTAAAATTATACATCAAGGGAGGAAATTGAAATTATATTTATTATATTAAATTTTTACTACTTTAAATTTAAATTTATGTATTTATTTCCGATTCAATGCTAAACACCATCCTTTCTGTAAAACACCCCGAAATGCTCCACAGTTGTATGTTCCGGCTCCTGTAATTGTAAAGCTTCCATGAAAGAAAATAAAAAACCCTAAAAAGTTATAAATTTTTTTTTCTGACCTCTAACTGTCAATTGCCATAACTCATAATAACCCATAAAAAAGAAATATTGCTTTATCTTTTATCTCTCCTCAGCGAGAAATAAAGGCCATGATTGAGTCCTCCCACTGCATTGAATCTCCTCGCCCCACTCACACGCAACACAAGAAGAACAATCTCGCTGCAGCACGACCCTTCATCCTTCCCCCTTCAATATATTCTCCCACCTTCCCTATTCTCTTCCCCTCCATCCTCATACAAAATTTCCATTATCATACACACCTTTTCTCGCTTGGGAGCACGCTGTTTATCATATTGATTTCTCAAAGGGTTGCTTGCAGAGGTTATTGGCATTCTGTCCACCTCCGACTCTTTGCATCTCCAAAATCCTGAGATCTAACTATTATGGAGGTGGGCATCCTGCCAACAGATCTCCGTTGTCATCCCTTTGTGAAATCGTTCTGATTCTCTCACCAGCAATAGGAAGCTTGATGAGTTTTTCAAGTATATCAGGTGAGAGTGCGGATCTGCATGCTAGCTTCAGATCTATTTAAGATTATCTGTTGTTTGTAGCCTTTTAAGGTTATTTAAGTTGAGATTTTAATTTTAATTCCCCTTTCTTTCCTTTCGAAAAATTCCTTCGGCTTATATATATATTTTTTATTTAAATCTCGTGCCATAATCATATTGCATGGAGGGACGCATGCATTTTGCATACTAGGAATCATTACAGCATGCAGCTTGTGGTTTTTTAAACTTTTTTCTCTAAGTTGTTGCTTTGTTTTTTTTATGTTTTGAGTAAGGATCCCTGGCTCTTTCGATGCCAGCGTCGTTCTTCGTGTTTGACTGAAAGTCAGAACTAACTGTGGGTTTATTATGTCTTATTTTTTAATGCAGATCTGACTTTAGAACAGGAACGTAATGGGAAGATCCGCTCCACCAGGTTTGATTTTACTGGGCAGTGTTCAAACGGCTAAGAATTTTCTTTCTGACACATTATTCATTGGCTTTTGGGTTAACCATCGGGAGTAATTATTTATTGTTGTTAATTAAATGGTTTTTACGAAATTAATGAATGTGATGGAAAGTTTGCCTCCTTTTTTGCTTAGCTTTCCTCTTCTGTAACTGTGAGTTATCCCATCCTTGTTGGGTAGCTTTTTCATTTCTGAACACTTTTTCATAACCCTAAAACCTAGTTTCTCCTTTGGTGATGGTCCTGGTCTCAACTTTTAAAGCATCCATTGCATCTCATTTTTTCTTTATTCGTAGCCTATGTTTGACTGTTTTACTTCTGTACAACAAAAAAAAAGAAGGAAAAAAAACACTTATCTTTTGTGATCTCTTTGTTTGAAGATGGATGAAGTAAATACAATATTGACTAAACTAGATGAAGTTAAGAAGCACTTCTGTTAATATACCGTGCTTTTGTTGTGCGGTTTCATGCAGTTATAATTACATCCTGTGCTTTGAAGTAATTATCTCAAGAGGCATTTAACGATCGAGTTAGTATTTGTGAGAGATCGAAGGATATGAAGTAAATTTTGGCATAGTTTTTAGATTTTTATAAAGATCATAGCTTTATATTGAACTAGTAAGGTGATTTGAATAAAACGAGATGAAAAAATAATGAGTGTATAAAAAATTTTAATTTAAATCATGAAGAAATGTTTAAGTATGCAGCCTACAAGAAGCTTATTTCATAAAAATAAGCAGTTGTCTACGAGCTCACTTTTCTTGTTAAAGAAGTGAGCCAACGAAACACTCTTTAATATTTATGTCAATAAATTTCATGATGATTTTTTTTTTGTCAAAACTAAAAAAAAATTCTATTGGAGAGGAAGGGGAGGTTGGGAAGGATGGAGCAATATGGAATGTAATTGTAAAACTAATCTTGTATTATGTTTTTATGAGCTGTTAATTAAGTACCAACTACCCTGTTATTTGTTAAGTGATTAATTAATAGAGAATAACTAGTTCATATTCCATAAATAGTCACTTTTTAAGACATTTAAGCTATGGAAAAAAAGAAGTTTCTCTTCTTTCTGATGCTATCTTATCATGTTAACGAGCAATAAAATAAATTGATAAAAGAATATAAAGATTTTACCTAGAAACTCGTACAAGAATATAAAAAGGTTAGTAGACTGAGAAGAATTCACTCTATATGAAAGGAAGTTAAAAGTGAGGGGTTAACCCAAATAAAATCAAACTAAAGAAACGAGTTTTCCTCTATAAAAAAGCGATATTTATAGACTTCTTTTAAGCAAATTATTCAAGAGGGGCCAACAAAAACGCATTTGCATTTCAAAAGTTATTTATTATGAGATTAATTCATCCGGAAAAAAAAACTTTTTATTTGTGCTCATAATGTTATTGTATTGGGTCAAATATAACCTACAGTATTCTGGCCACAAATTAAATATTGAATTAATTGAAACAACGCAACTTCAACGGTCAAAATCCGTGGCAATTCCATGTATAAATTCATAAAAAATTGATTTAAGTAGTTGCCAAACATTTGCGTTTCGTTTTATTGTCAAAAGAATTTTTTTATAGGAATTTGTCAATTGAAAATGGACTATATTTTGTTTAGGTATTGCATTGTTTTCATATTGTCTCTATACTATGTGGACTTACAGGCACGAGTAATTTTTGAAAGGTAGTGAAAAAATTAAGATAAATGTGAGAAATATTTACTTTTCCTTTAATTATTTCCTTCGCACTCTTGTTAGCTATTGGGTAATGGTCATCTAATATTTTAATGGAATTGTCAGTCTGAATTAATCCTTCCAAGCTCGAGCATTCCTTTGTTCAGCTGCTAGTTATATTTATTAATTAAGCAAAATTCTTATCTATAGCTATTCAGATCTTTTCTTTGGTTTTAAATATACTGTTATATTTTCTTGGATTGAGAATCATCTTGTTTTATATTTTACATGTGAATATTTGTACATTTGAGTTTAGTTTGCTGTGCTTTTTTTTTTCATCAACAAAGATTAAGCAGTTGTGATTAGGAAACTATGCTTTGAACTTGCTTTGGAATTATAAGAATCATATTTTTAAAATAATGAATGATAAAATTTTAGTGTTTTGATTAGGAATAATATGGAAAACTAATCAGCTGATCAAATATTCTTTTTAAAGTTAGCCGTTTAAGAATCGTTTTTAAAAATGCTGTTTACCAAAAAAAAAAAGAGAAAAAAACAGAAGAACAAACTTGTTATCACCTAAGCATTGGTTCTTTTGGAATGTAGCAGCACGTATAAACTGCTCAATCTTATCTTAACGGAAAAAATGTGCCAAAATCATTTTCGGGACTTGAAATTCGTATTTTTTTCTTTGAGATCTTGCTGTCATGGTTACCATACCGTTGGTTAGATTGCTCAGATTTTTGTAGTTTTATATTGTTTTTTCCAAAATTCTTGTGGTAGTAGAAGTAGGTGGAGGATGAATTATAGGAGAAAGGCTTGGAGGAGGGAAGGGGGAATGGGCTGGCTAAGGTGCTTGCAGGCAATTTTGAGAAAATATTACATTTCTTCGTACTCAAATTAATTTACGCCCGCGCCAGCTGTAGAGTCCCGGGCTCACTAAAAAAATAATTAATATCTTTGATTTTATTGTTGTATTATGGCGAGTTTGTGGTTTTGTGGTGGTTTTATAATAGTAATGTGATGATTTTAAGGATTAAATGCAACTCCAACAATAAAATTATAAAATCATAATAATATTATCACCAAATCACAACAATACAATAATAACGTCATCATAATATAATCGTAAAATCATTGCTTTTACTTATTTTTTTCAAGGGGGTTTAGGGATTTTACACATGATGAATAATTAAAGAGTTAAATATATTATATACAACACAATAATAAACTTTCAGGAGTTTATTAATAATATATTTTACTTAATTAACATATTCACAGTAACAGAAAAATGCCATCTCAAATTATTCACAATTCACAATAAATATTTAATATATATACAACACAAGTTAAATATATTTATATATGTAATTTTTAATCTTTCAGGAGTTTATTGTTGTTATATTTTGATTAATATAAACTTCTTCGGTACGAGTAATTTTGCTGTGGAGTTCGATTTAGACCGACCGGCTTGGAAGAGGCTTTAAAGTATATTACTTTTTATGTTAAGAAATTTTACATTTGTATTTTTCACAAGTTATTCAAATTATTCCTAGAAGCTTTTGAATATGTTAATTCAGTAGTGGCGCTGAGCAATCTTTTACATTTGTTTGTTTGACATGCAACTCAAATGGAAGAAATATTGATGTGTAAATTTGTGTGTTCTGTAACAATTGCCAAAAAGAATGGTATATTTTTGGGTAATTATGTGTATTTATAAGACATAATGAATGCCCTGTCTGGATAAACTGAGTTTGACATGTTATGCGCACACCGAACTTAATTAAGTGCGGTGACAGTTTTCTGACAGCGGTCTGACTTTTTCAAAAAAATAGAAATTTATAATAGCTACCGCATCTAGCTTATCATTAAATTATTTTTAATCAACTTATCAACAGATATTCAATAAAATGCAGATTATATATATATAT